TCTTCTACTCCCCCTACTGACTACACGCTCACCCTAGATGTAACCAAGGATAGACACATGTGGTTAATTAACTACCATTATCAAGTGTTTGAACAATGTAGTTTAATTTGTTGTTGTGTATCGAAATCGTCCGACCAAATTCACTCAAATTCCTCACGTTCCGGAGGATACAGTTTGGATATCGGATATCGAGATTGTCTGACCAAATTCACTCAAATTCCTCACATCTGGGGTGACATAGTTTGGTTATCGGGTATCGGGTAATGGGTAACGAGATCGGCTGACGAAGTTAGTTTAGTTATCCTACTGGATATCGAGACGTTCAGCTCTGGATACCCGGGGTAATGATATTGTGACAGCTATGACCTTTTTAAGCAAAAGCAAAAAAAGAGAAACCCTTAATAGTTTTAATATGAACAAAAATGACGATAGGTAAGAAGATTTTCTCTGATCATATAGATGTAACTAAAAATGTATTTCTCATCATCCGAGGTTAAACAAATATAAAAGTTCACGAAACCTATATGATCAGAATTTTAATCTATATATGGTGAACTCAAATCATATCACAACTTTTGAGTTTTTCTTATTTATGTTATATCAATACTTTAACGCTTTGTTTGTACTAGTAAATTCTTCTTCTACACAGTATAACTGCCATCACCCAGGTTATTATGGCACGGTCGGTTCCGGCCGGTTAGGTTCGTTTTCCGACCATTTCCTTGCCACCGGATTCCGGTCGGAAGTTCAAATGTAGGTTCCAGTCATTTCCCGGCCGTTTTCTGCAAACTTCGAGCTGGAAACGGTCAGGAACTGATCGGATATTTCCTGTGCAATTCCGGTCGGAATCCGGCGGCAAGGAACCTGCCGGAACTTGCTGGAATCGGCGAAAACTGTGCCGGAATCGAGAAGAGCTGTACCGAAACCGACTCAGATTTCAACGGATCCAGTCGCCGGAATGATCGACCTGAGCACGTTCTTGTCTCGTAAAGTGAGACATCTTTTTATCTCAAATGTCAACACTGAATCTCATTGAAGTTAACTTATCATCGTTTTATCGCAAATATCTAACAAAGCATAAATAGCACGTATCAAGAGACAAATAGCGTATTGATAAGAGAATGAAAGACCTGGACCATCTAGCGTCTAAAGCTGTCTTTGTTGATAGGTGATACTCAATAAGTGATGATATGTAGATAAGAAATATGCCATTATCACTATATAAATATCTTGTATTCTCGGTATTTTCTTGCATAAATACGACGACTCCGACGAGACAATAAAGCTTCATCAACAATGAAAACTATTCTGTTTTCTCTGGTTATTATATTTTTCATAATCGTTGTACGGTGCTCACCAGAGCGAAGTGAAACAAATATTAAACAAGGAACTGCATCGAAAGGTGAAGCATATGCCGGATGTCGAAAAAGAAAAAATGGAAAATATTTCTGTCGTTGTGGCAAGACGAAAGTATCATACGATCATCTCCAACAAGTTTGTATTAATGGACAAGTCATTCAACGGTAAGCGTTCTCGACTGTGTAGATGTTTTTTTCTTCGATTTCTGAGAGTGGTTCGCTAATAGATTATTGGTAGTTGACTACGACTTTGCAGAAGAATGATAATAACGAAAGATGATCAATGACAAGAGACAATGGGTATGTCAGTTGTTAGGCTTGAGAATATCGAAAAGCGTTTCTTTGAGGACAGGCAGTGTTAAAATCATAGCTTCTTGCAAAGCATTTTCGATAAAAACAATTAAACCAAGGTTAGTGTCACTTAAAAAGTCTAAACTCATGATTAAAAAAAACAGGTCATAAAACATATTTTTATAGAATTAGTTGACTGAGAGTGAAAAATTTCTTAGATATTGAAAATATTTGTTCTTTTTGATTCATCGATAGGAGCATGACTATCAGTCCTCGAAGAGTGATTACACCGATCTATCGTTCTACACGTGATGAACAATACGCTAGCATGCGACTCGGACTACAAAGAGTGGGTTATCTAACGACAATACCACTTCGTCATGTATCTGCAGAAGCATGGATTCATTCATTTACAGCTGATGTCACTTTAACGCAAATATATTATAATGAAAACAACGATCCAATTGAAGCAGTCTATATATTTCCTATTGAGGTATGACTTACATCGGTTTTAAACTGTAAAACTTAATATTTCATAATGATTTCTTGCATTGATTGACAGAATTTTCCTAACATATATATGGATCTTTATCAAGCACTGTTTGTAATAAGATCAGAATATATAATCGATGATAGACACTGTTGAATTGAATATCGTCAAATAACTAGTTTTTGAATAGAATAGACGGCACTAAAACAAATTATATTCGTAAGAAAAAATGTTCATAGGCATTATCTCGAATTAGAGTCAATTGACTTCTTTGAATGACAACGAATACTGTCGAACGATATTCTGATTTTTCTTAAAAGATAGTTATTCTTTTTTATGCAATAAATAAAAATAATCAATTGTTGAAATCACTTGTAAATTGTACAAATTATTTGAATTCAGCTAGGATGCGTTTTTTTATAGGAAAACGCGGCAATTTATGAATTTACGGCTCGAATCGACGATCGATTGATTACAGCTGTGGTACAAGAAAAAGACACTGCTGAGAATATGTATGAGGATGCAATTCAACGGGGTCAAACGGCAGTGTTACTTCGACAAGATGAACGAACATTCGATACTTTCAAAGTAAGTCATTGAAAAGTTGAATGCCATAGAATGATGACTGAATGTTTTACAATATGCAACACTGAAATCACAAGTTTATTGAATATATAGATAAATGTCGGATTTCTGCCACCAGGTAAAGAATGTATAGTCAATATTCGTTATGTGACCGAACTAGATTTGGTTGATGGATCCTTTATCCGATTTGTTGTTCCAACTACCATTGCACCTCGATATGATCCAAGACTAAGCATAGTGCAATCACTGGATAGATCACAAACCGAATATGTTCAAAATTCTTCGTATTCAATGTCATTTCGAGCTCATGTTAATCGATACGAACAAAGTAAGTAACAAATTCTTGAAATACAATATTGTTCAACAAGCAGCAAGCTTAAAAACTGTCTAAAATAGAATATTACAGCAAGATAAAGTCGTTTCCACTTATTGAGACATATAGCTTCTTGTTCATAATGTCCTATGAATTAATTTCTTTATCTCATAAATTTGTTCATAGATCAAATTATCGAAGTGACTAATATGTCTCATCCGGTCAATCGCAGCGCATCGTATAAAACAATCGACATTTCCTCAGAAGGCATTGCACTCGATCACGATATTATCCTGGATATTGATCTGCCACGTAATCGGTCCGCGGTACTTATTACAGCCGAACAATACAATAATGCATCAAACCTTGCAGTTCTTACTGTACTGAATAATAATTATGAACGTTTCCTCACAATGTATGATAAGAACAATTCAATTGCTTCAACAACTGAATATATCTTCGTCAGTATGTTCTCTTTTTTCTCAGTGGAAGTCTTAGAGATTGGCGAATTATGACTAGTTTTTTTAAAATTCCATTGCCATAATCGCTTTGCAATACTATCAGTAAGTTTGTTTCGTTTTAGTCGACTGCTCTGGTTCTATGGACGATGAAAATCGCATTAATCTTGCTCGAGATGCAATGATTTCGTTTGTACAATCTATTCCTATGGGTGCACATTTTAATATAATTCGTTTTGGATCAAACTATGAAATTCTTTTTTCTAATACTACACGGATGACTACTGTATACAACGAGCAAACAGCCAAACAGGCCAAAGATCTTGCAAGTACGATGAGAGCCAATTTAGGTGGTACAGAGTTATTGAAACCTCTACAATACTTAAAAGCACATCCGCCTGCTAGTGGTAAATCACGACAAGTGTTCATCTTGACCGATGGTGAAATTGCAAATACAGATCAGGTAAACAAAAGTACAAGAAAACACTATCCTACTTGTGTCATATAAACATATTGAAGAAAAATTTATGAGATTATTTGGCTAATGTGGTAAATTCTCTTCTATTTCAGGTGATTGAATTATGTCGTTCGATGGCGTCGAATACGCGCATTTTCTCATTTGGTCTTGGCCCTACATCGTCTCGGTCTCTAGTGAAAGGTGTTGCCCGTGCGACAAATGGCCATTTTGTTTTTATTGCTCCGAATAATACGGTTGATCGAGACGTTATGAATCAGCTTCATCGAGCCTTGCAACCATCACTTGTTAATGGTCAATTGCAATGGTTTGGATTGTGGCCCAAAGGTTTCCAAGCACCTAAAACTATACCCCCAGTATATGAAAATGATCGTGTACTTGTCTATACTCTATTCGATAAGTTTTACTTTAATGGGCAATCTGCGCCGGTAAAATTTTCGGCCGACAATCGTTTAATCGGTACTAGTTCATTGAACCGCAATGATATACGCGACGGCGATACGATTCGCCGTTTGGCAGCTAAGGCTTTAATACAAGAATTGTTACATAAGGGAGATACACAATATATTAAGTAAGTTGAATCTCTTTTACACTGTGTGAGATTCTTTTATCAAGGTCGATTTTCTTGTAGAATTTCAGAAATTTTTGAAATTCTACAAGAAAACCGACATCCACGAAATTTCATTGCTAAAATTTTGATCGCAGAACTTTCATCTTACGTTTTCTTCGTTAATATTTGTCTATTCTTCTACTTTTGAAATCTATTAGTGAATCTATTAATCTCTTTTTCCCTTAGTTCCAATATGACAGTCAAACAGCGTATTATCGAACTCTCGTTGGCTCATCAAATTTTGTCACCATACACAGCGTTCGTTGGTATTGAAACAAGTCGTTCTGGGCAAAGTAATGCTTTGCAAAGCCAACATCTACCTATTCAAGTATCGAGAGATGGCGAGCATCTCCCCCATCAACATTCATCTTTTCCTGGATCCCAACAGTCCACACCGTTACCAAGTGTCCATACGCATTCATCAACCATAGTAAACTTTCCGACAAGAATCACAGCGCCTTTGCATTTACAACACCCTTATTTAAACAACTATGATGATGAACATGACAAACACGGCAGAGTAGCATACATGTCTCGTCTTCCCTCTGCGATACAATCACGTGTTCCCAATGAACACCTAGGTGAGAATGAATTGAAAAGACGTCACATTAACATTATTATGTGCATCATGATACTGCTTCTGCAGGGTTTACTGATGTAAATTTTTAACTTCTTTCTCTCTAAAAGATATCGGTGTATGATAGATGAGTATTTCGGCTAATACGCCATCGTTTTGATTTGAAACTGTGATTTTCTCTTTCGGTAGGGTATTATGATCAACAAAGTCCTCAACATATGGCCGGTTATGCACATGCATCACATGGTGTGCAAGCGCAGGAGCTGTTTATTGTTCATCAAACTTCTACATCCAGCACGACAGGTTTTGATTCGATAGTAACCCACAGCCAATCGTAAGTATTCGCCTTGTTCTTATTATAATCTTTGCCCACATCGAAAAGCGCATTTAGGGTGAAGGACACTTGACAGAAAATCGCTCTTAATCAATTTGAATCGAGAGATTCGTCTTAAACATACATTCTATAATGTTTGTAAAGTCTGACGAAATTAGTTAAATACGATAAAAAAATTTGTCACGAATCTAAGCAGATTCTATAGAATATACCTTATGTTCATACGGAAAACTATTACGACTGTTTGATTTTAGAGACTCCCGAAAGTCTGTCTCTGCTGCGACGGATTTCATTCGTAAGTTGATCCAGCAACAATCGTTTGATGGTGCATGGGTTTTAACAGATGATTACGTAAAACAATTGACAGGAGGCAAATCGACCAGCTATTTCATGTCTACAATTAATCAAGATAAAGATGTTACTACAACAGCACTTGCTATTGCTCTACTTGAATTGAGATATGCCAACCAAAAGAGTCTTTGGTTTATGGCAGTAGACAAAGGTCGCTGGCGCTTGATGAACTATGGTCTCAGCCAGAATAAAATCGAGTTATTAATTAATGAGGTCAAGAATAAACTCTGATAGTTGTAAACTGTAATCATTGTGCACCACTGATTTGACTTTTCTGAAAACGATTATCTAACCTTTTCATTTAACTATTATTTATCTCTATTTACTTAGTGCATATTTTTCTTCTGAAATCATTTTGAATGTATTTGTGGATGCTATATTTTCTCGCATTTACATTCATCAACTGCTTCACCCTGACCCAAAGACGTCTACAAATATTAGTATCAGTCTTAATTTCTAGATCCGAAAATAAACCTTTAAAAGTGTAAAAAACTCTTCTCGTGATCATCTATTATTTCAGCAGAACCATTTGTACTCGTTCTGTTATCGAGGCACATCGAAGCGACTATTACTTCCGCTTGGCATGAGTGCTCAAGCATTGTCTACTAGTATCTTGTAATTCATTTATGAATGAATTTTTACCTTGAGAACATATGTTTGTTGCCAACACAAGTAAAAATCCAGCTGATGATGAACAACATGAATTAACAGTGCATATTGATCATTGCATCTGCAATTATATATTACGTTCTCACATCCTTCTCAAATTGAACATTGAATAGCAGGAGCACAATAACTATTATTGTTCATTGTAAGATAATTAGAGAAATGTGTAGTTGATAAAGAACAAGTATTGTTATCAATTGAAATTACAGTACATTGCTGTAAGAAGCAATTTAATGTTGGATTCGATGCAGGATGGATTGATATTGATAATGTAAATTGTACGATAGTATTATTTTCACGACATGAATAGTTAGGTGATAAGGTGGTTTGACCTACGAGAAGGATCTCGATGATGAGAAACAGGAATGCGATAAATACCGTAACTCTTTATGAAATGAGCAAAGAAAAAAACTATTAACAGAACTCCCTGATTTTTCTTTCCGACTTTGAAGAGCAAAAGTTTGCTTAGATTTCTATACTTGGTAAGTATATAAGAGAAAACAATAATCTTTTGAGACAGATTGTTACTTTTCATTCCATTAAAGTTTTATCACAATCATGTTTATTTCACCTTATTTCTTCGAGTTAAAATAAAAACATTTCATGATGAATCGTGGTAATTGTCTGAATTTGTTTTACTAACGGTGGCAGAAAAAACAATGTCTAAAATAAATACTATTTTGTTTTGTGATTTTTTTTCTTTTCAAATTTGCCGTTATGGATACGACAGTAGATATTTTCAATAAGAATTTCTTGATTTGTATGGTTTTGTAATGATATTCGAATAACACGTCGATTTTTGTGTACTCAAAAAGTGAGTACACTACTAAAATCGGTCTGTATGTCCGTCCGTTTACACGATAACTCTTCAAAAACACAAGCAATTGAGCACTAGTTTTTTTTCACAGAATTGTCTCATCAACATCTCGGTCGAGTTCGAAGATGAGAAGGATCGGTAAAGGAATGGTCGACTTATTCTAAAAACACTCGAACATTATCAGTCCACCTCTGAAGGGTAGTACAGGGATTTTCGCAAAAAAACAAGTTTCACATAAATTGTCTACAAGATATATAATAAAAGCAGTCTGTTTGGTAGACGTACCATAGGTCCTCAAGTCCGATACTATGGGGGTACCCTTGGGTCCTCATATGCTATACTGTGAGTGCATCCCTGGATCTTCAAGCCCTGTGTTATGAGAACAGATTGAATAAACGTCTACATCAATGTACTTCTATGTACCTGATCGAATACACCCAATAAGTAAAGGCAGTAATCTCGAACTTGAATCAGAATGTTATGTTTACTTCGAAGAACGGAACTGGCGATCGAAAGATTTTTATGAAACCGTCTGTGAATACCGTTTTTGTTCCACAGGACCTTATAAGGTGTTAGTCCTAGGGATTCTATTTTTCCCTATGGGTGAAAACTTATTCATTGTTTAACTGGTAGGCTTCAATTGAACATAGTGAAAGTGTCTACAACATGTTATTGCGAAGAGATGTGAAATGTCTAACTTTTCCTAGTATATGAGAAAGATGAACACAGTAGTCAAATGAATAAGGCGCCCGTCCATCCGTTTGTTTATAGGATAAATCCTGAAAGACTAATCCGATTGTGATAAGGTTTTCTGAAGAATATTATCACATGAGTATGTTGTTCGAGTTCCATGATGAGTCTGATTGGAGGAGCCATTATTGAGCTATTAAAAAAATAATGATATTTCTCTATGACTTTCCTGTCTTCTATCTCATACACTTTTTGCAGTACACATAATTTTCGGATAAAATCCGAAGTTTTCGCATTTATTTTTATGTACAGAGCAACGGAGATAAATTGACACGCAGAGCTGCTGATATGACACGATGATCACCGTTGTTCACTATATTGTCGCTTCTTTATCTTATCAATAGTATTTATATATATACGAATACATTTTTGATCTCGATTATTTGATAAAGATAACAACGACTAATTTCATTTTTTATATTTTTATTTTAGTTTAAAGTAAGAAGATTTGAACACACACTGTATGAAGAAAAGAATGTGTGCCTTAAGATAAATTTTAAAGTGTATAGCGAAAGAGAAAAAGAATAGAATTTAGAATATTGAAATTTTCATTGATATCGTGGTTTATGCATGTTCTTCTTCTTCACCCTCACCACCTTCGCCTTCTTCTACAATAAAATCAAGAAAATAGATAAAAGATAACAACAAATGAACGAACCTTCGGCTGTGGCATCCTGATATTGTTGATACTCACTCACAAGATCGTTCATATTCGATTCAGCTTCAGTAAATTCCTGGAAGAGATAGAAAGAATTGCGTAGAAAGGTAAATGAATTGGGTGGGAGGGAACTCGACACCAAAAAACTGCTTTAGTAATGACATCGACGGCTGTAATATTTCCATGTATTCTTAGCCGGCGATGATTGGTATTTTTCGAAGAATGAGTAAGAAAAAAGTTGGAATTGATCGAAAAATGTTCAAATGTAGTAATGACCTACAATAAAACTCTCTAAAATTAAAATATTTAAATTGAGAAAAGATTCTGTCGACGACGACGATTTGTAATCACTAAAAGAAATCAGAAATTTTTCGGTTACCATTTCATCCATGCCTTCACCAGTATACCAATGAAGAAAAGCCTTACGACGAAACATGGCCGTAAATTGTTCTGAAACACGTTTGAATAATTGTTGAATATCTGTACTATTACCTAAAAAATAAGACTATATATAGAAAGGGAAAGAATTTTTATTTGAATCTCTACCAATAAATGTTGCTGACATTTTAAGTCCACGTGGTGGAATGTCACAAACAGCTGTTTTAATATTATTTGGAATCCATTCAACAAAATAAGATGAATTTTTATTTTGTACATTTAATATTTGTTCATCAACTTCTTTCATTGACATTCGACCACGAAAAATTGCAGCAACTGTTAAATATCGTCCATGACGTGGATCACATGCAGCCATCATATTTTTTGCATCAAACATTTGTTGTGTAAGTTCAGGTACAGTTAATGCACGATATTGTTGTGAACCACGTGATGTTAATGGAGCAAAACCAGGCATAAAAAAGTGAAGACGTGGGAATGGTACCATATTAACAGCTAATTTTCGAAGATCAGCATTAAGTTGACCTGGAAATCTTAAACATGTTGTTACACCTGACATTGTAGTCGAAACAAGATGATTAAGATCACCATATGTCGGTGTTGTAAGTTTAAGCGTACGAAAGCAAATATCATACAATGCTTCATTATCAATACAATAGGTTTCATCTGTATTTTCAACAAGTTGATGTACAGACAATGTTGCATTGTATGGTTCAACAACAGTATCAGATACTTTTGGTGATGGGACAACACTAAATGTCATCATAATACCTGAAGGAAAGAGAAACAATGAAAATGTTCAATTGTTATCTACAGAAATCAACTTACGATCTGGATATTCTTCTCGAATTTTTGCGATAAGTAATGTACCCATGCCAGAACCGGTACCACCACCAAGTGAATGTGTCAATTGAAAACCTTGAAAACAATCGCATGATTCAGCCTCCTTACGTACAACATCCAATACTGAATCGACCAATTCAGCACCTTCTGTATAATGACCTTTTGCCCAATTGTTACCGGCGCCAGATTGCCCTAAAATTATTGGACGATATAAAGAAAAAAAAAGATATATACTTATATTTACCGAACACAAAATTGTCCGGACGAAAGAGTTGACCGAATGCACCACTGCGAACTGAATCCATTGTACCTGGTTCAAGATCGACAAGAATAGCACGTGGAACATATTTGCCACCTGAAACGAGGGAGAAAATAGAGGTTTATTTTGTTTTTTTCTACTCACCAGCTGCTTCATTGAAGTAAACATTGATGCGTTCAAGTTGAAGATCAGAATCACCATGATAGGTACCTGTTGGATCGATACCATGTTCATCAGAAATCACTTCCCAAAACTAGAAATACATTGCGACAATAAAAACTATTTCATTCAAGGCAATCTATCGATTTGCTTTAGAACGAATTTGGTTTCCACATTGACCAGCTTGAAGATGAACAATTTCACGCATTTTATTTTTGTTATTAGTATTGAAAACGAAGAAAAGGAATAATAATAATAATAAATCTATAGTGATAAATAGTATGCTTTATTAATTCTTTTCGGAAGCATGTATGAAAACAGCTACAATTCCTTACTCAAATATAAACATACAACAAAATCAGATTTAACAAATAGTGTTGCCATTATGAAGGTAGATACTGAATAAAAGTCTTCTGTGCTTCCAAATCCTCGGAATATTATCAAGAGTCGATCCTAATTCGACATCAACACAACAAAACCTATTTTAGGTTAAAATGTTGTAAAAGTATGGTTACCTGATCGAATCTTACGAAAAAACTTTTAAATTATCGAGTACAGAAGGCTCAACAGATAATCTCTACTCACACACGTAGACGATAGAAGAAAAGAAAGATTGTCACGACGTCTTCAAATATGCGTATAGTTAATAAACAAGTAACGCTCATCCTTTGGATGCGCTGACCCTTTTCTGAAAGAATTTTCCGAATGCTTAACACATTCAGAGACTTCGAAAGAGAGAAAACGCACTGCGATTGCTACTAGTGCTCAACTGAATCATGGCACTATGTCACACACTAGAATGAATAGGATGCAAAAGTCTTTTTAGGAATCAGACCGATTAGTCCTTTGTCAGTGGATAATTCTCCAGCACTAACTATGTTGACTGAAAAATTCATCGCTCAACGGCTAGTCAGACGGTCACTCACGGCCAACCATTGACCTTTGTCATCTGTTTCTCTTTTTTNACTACTTCTACTAAATTCCCATGAAAGGACATGATGTATGTAGCCTACAAAGCAAAGATGATACTAAGCTCATATCACTTTTTCGGATTTCTTGAATTAGAAACATCATTATGTACAATGCATTAGATCTTTTCGTGTAAGTTCTTGAGCTACTATCTTTGTACACATGACGTCCGTGAGTAACGTTCAGCTCTGTTATGCCCGTATAATGTGGTAGAACTAGTTTATTTCAAAATAGTAATGCAAGAATCGATGTAAAGCTAGCACGAACAAACGATATGTTAGCTAAAAACTTTTTTACTAAGTATGTCCCGTCCGTGAAAACTACACCATTCGACTCAGAATTTAATTCTGCATCGAATGGTGGTACTTTTATTCACCGGGCAAACTTTGGAAAAATTATATCTGGATTATAAATAGACATAAAGGAAACGAACAAAGATATAGATAGAAAAATTTCCAAAGTTTGCCCGGTGAATAAAAGTACCACCATTCGACGCGGAATTAAATTCTGAGTCGAATGGTGTAGTTTTCACGGGCGGGACATACTTAGTAAAAAAGTTTTTAGCTAACATATCGTTTGTTCGTGCTAGCTCCTTCGTGCTAGCTTCACACTGATGTTGTTGTTGTTGTTTTGGTTGTTGAGTATTACTTGAGGCAGCAAGTGGCTGTTGCAAATTTTTTAACAAACTTTCACCTTTGATACGATACATTTCTTCGTCTTCCTTCTCACATGTTAAAATAATTTTTACCAAACTTTCCTTATCAAAACTTTTTGAAAGTTTGAAAGAAAAAATGAGGTTTACTAATTCTTCAATTGTATAATGCTTTTGAAAAGGCCATTGCAAATTGAGTTCCTCAAACAGTTTGATACATTGTGAAATATTATTCTTAAATAATGCAATCGCTATAGAAGTGAATCGAGCATCAGAGCCAATAACTGGAATTCTATCAATATATGATAAGTAAACTGTTTCTTTGCATTCATCGATTTGTTGAAGTAACTGCTGAAAGCTTTTGTTTTCTTCATTTAACTGCCGAATAACATCTTGAATCATTGTCTTTGTTGGATATGTCGATGCCCAGTCCCGAATTAATAATCCAACATCGACTACACTGAGGACCGCTGATGTTACTATGGCACCCTTCGAAATAACTTTCAATGCGTTAGCAGATAACATGTTAGCATATATTCGAGTACCGGTTTCTAATATATTTTCGGCTACGTGTACACCTTTACCAACGTCTACAGCCATTTTACCACCTTTTGATAAAGTTTCGAAATATACCAATGGCCGAGATAAGCTTATATAACCAGAAAATGGAATAACCATCATCGCTATTGCCAATGGATTGTTATGTAAAAGGCGATTGACGATATGCGTAAGTTCACCCAAATCCGCTGCATTATTTGCTATTCCTAGAAAAGATTCCTTAATTATGTTTTTATTTTCAATTCAATTCGATCGGGTATACATACGTCGAAATACGATGGTAAATGCTGTTTCTCTATCAATACCTTTTGACGCAAAATAATTAATTGTATCATGAATTTCATTCAATTTTTGTTGTAATAGTTGTGTAGTATCTTCACGAATCTTCACCAAGCTCCGAATGCTGGAAATGATTTTCTTCGATTTGTTGTTTTCAACAGAGTTGATGATAGCATTTGTAAGAGTACCTCCAACAGTCAATCCAAGGGTAGCTAATGATAATCCACCAGTAAGCGGTGCCAGAAATAAAGATCCCACGAATATTCCAGTTCCACCAACACTAGCTATATAGTTCCACTTGTTCGAATTAAATTACATCCTGTATGATAATTTTTTACTTCTTCAAACAGTTTGTGTAAATTGCAAAGAATTTCTTTGTTTTTCGCAAAGCATTTACGTAAACATTCTTCTAAACCGATGTTATCCATCAGAAGAATTTTATGTTAGTTGTAACACAATTCAAATAGATTAAATCTGAAAAATAAATTCAAAGGTGCCAACTTACGCTTGTTTCAACATGGTTTCTTCGATAATGAACGCATGTCTACTAATTATTTCCATCGAATGAATGTTTGACAAGACAATCGTATCAAGCAACGTCTTTGTGACTATTTCCGATGGCACTACGTCTTTGTTTCTTTTCTTCCTATCACGAACTCTGTTGAGATTCTCTGAATATACAGTATAGTAGACCTTTTCTTTTATATTATGTGTCGTCACATAGACATACTTATTCGCACAGATCTCTCCTTCTCTCCTACGTATGCATGGGATTATTCCTTACCATCATTCTGTATATATATGCGTGTACATCTTTATATGTATGTGCGTAGAGGACATAGGCTGAAAACTACTTTCTGAGGTCAAATGAAGTAGTGCAAATGCAAACTCTTATGTTCGCTCATTTTTTTAAGAAAAATTTCTGCTGGGAGGGGCAGCAGTCATCGACTCTGTCCTTAAATCTGTCACTGCTATCGAAATGTTTTCTTCATACATATTCGCAGAGAAAGATCTAAGAAAACTTTTTCCAATCGTTTTCTTGTAAATAAAAGTCCTATCATTCGAAGCAGAGCCGAATTCTGCATAAGTTGAACTGGTCTCCACGGATGGGGATTCGTTTTTATGCGACTTTTACCTAGTTTTTATTCTTGGTGCTAGCTTCACATCGATATTTTAGTAGATGTCGTACGTGGTTACTGATCAATCTATGAAGAAAGACCTTCGATCGTGATCTGAACTGATATAACAATAAAAGGATGAAAGTTCCGAAAATGCTTTTCTTTTGATCGAAATACGAGAATTCGTAATCATTAGAAATCATTGACTTGGCGTTTCCAAAATAATTAGAATAGATGAAATTCTGGATTTTATTGTCTTCTTCTGTTTGTTTTTATCATCGATATCACCGTAAGAAGAAAAGAAAAGAAAAAAGTTGTGTTATGAAATCTATGTACAATAGAAAAAGTTGTGTGTTTTTGATTTTGCTTAGATAAAAGAGAATTGTTTTTGTTTTATTCCATTAGATTGTTAATATCAGCACTAGTTGATGGCGGTCGTGGTCTTTGAAAATCATTTGTTGTTGATGAACTATGTTCACTGGCTACATTTTGATTTGATGAAGGACTTGAAACAGTTCTTGAACGTGATAAATGTTGTTGTGACGAACTTGTTCTTTGTTGTTTCGGAAAAGCTTTCATTCGTTCATTTAACGCACGTTCTTCATCCATTTCAAGTGATGATTCACTTTCGCTTAATTGACGACAGAGTTGTTCACGACGATCAACCTATAATGAAAAAATGGTATTGCAAGGTGAATAATGAGGAAAAGAAACGACAAACTTCAAGTTGTAATTTTCTTTGTAAACGTAAATTTTCATTTCTAATGTCTTGTTCTTCTCGAACAAGTTGTTCCATTTTTTCTCGGTGTGATTCTTGTGTTGAATTCAATTCTCTTTTCAATTTTTCTACTTCACGTTTTAATTGTTGAATATGATCAACATTTGGTAATGAAAGACGAGTGGCTAATTGAGGATTTGCACGATTTGAAGTAATTTCATCGGTTGAGATTATTGTTGAACTATTATTTACATTTGATGATGAATCAATAGATGACGATGGATGACATTCCTTTAAAAGATATACAAAGAATTCTTTTCATAAGAAGAACATACAAAAGTTACCGAATGACTCTGATCAGGTTGTTCGAGTTTTTGTTGAAGTAATCGTTTATCTGTTTCTAATTTTTCCATTCGTTTCCATAAACGATTAACTAAAGATTCTTGTTCTTTTTCCAATGTGTTTTCTAATTCAATTTTTTCTCGTTTCAATTGTTCCTAAAATAATAGAATTAATTGAATTGAATACGAAAGAAATACTTCGTACGAGAATATTTTGTTTATTAATTGTTTCTGCTTCTAAACGTTTGATTCTTTTCATTAATTTGTTAATTTGCGAAGCTTGTTCTTGTTCCAACGAATGTTCTAACGATTGTTTTTCTTCTCTTAATTGTTGTAATTTTCTTGATAAATCATTTGTTAAAAATTCTTCTTCTCGTTCATAATTATTCGCTAAAGTTTCTTTTTCTTTTTTCAATTCTTGAATTTTCTTTAACAAAGTGTTCGAAATGAATTCTTCTTCTTGTTCAGCTTTCGCTTGCATATGAACACTCGCACTAAAAATGAGACGAAAGATATGCCTGAGAACATCGATGAAAGAAAACAAACGAACTGTTTCAATTGTTTGATTTCTTGTTGCGAAGCTTTTAAGCGTAATTTAAACGTTTCAAGTTCAACTTTGAGAACACGATTTTCTTGTTGTAATGAATCGATTCGTTTAATTAAATGTTCTCGATTCAATGTTGATGAATCAGCTATGGATGAAACATCCGATTCACATTCGCTATCTGTCTGCATTGAATGGACTTGACTAAAAACAAAATTGAGAAATGAAAGTTTTTTTTTAAAGAAACCTTTTTCATTTACTTTTCACCACTCATCTTTTTTGTTTGACGAAGATTTCTTTTGATATGTCATTAACAAAATCTATTTCTCCTCTAAAAATTGTCTTTAACACATCTATGCACTTTGATTTAATGGAGAAAATTTGAAGTTTTTTTTTCGAAAAATCCAAATGAAAAACGAATTTTTTTCGAAGAAAATGGAAAACGAGAAGAGAAAATAAAAAAACGAAATATTTTGTTTATTTGAAAAAGAAGAATCGGATCAGATGAATTTTCTCACGTGGTTTTATTAAATTCGATTTGTTTGGAAACAGAAATGATCTTTATTCTATTTCTTGTAAGTCTAGATCAATGTTTTGACCTTAATTTTCAAATTAATTCTCTTAGATTTACTTGAATATTTCTTCCGTTTCATCTCGTGCAATACAAATTACAACAAATAATATCGAATCCACACTGTGTAACAAACATTTTCCTTTCTTTTTCCGAATTATTTCTTGGAACTTTTTTCTTCTAAAGCTTCAAACGAATTTGTTTTAATTAATTTCTATGCCAATTGGTGTCGATTTAGTCAAATTCTCGATCCAATTTATGATCAGCTAGCTGACAAAGTCAATGAACTATATTCTGTTCGTATTAATCTTTCTTGTTCTTGAATTTCACAAGATTTTCATTGAATTTAGAAGAATAATTCGATTCTAATCGGAAAAGTCGACTGTGATCAACAAAGTAAAGTGACAAAAGAATGCAGAAGATATTCAATTTCTTCCATTTTTAGGTTCAATCGGTCAAAAATACCATATTGACAAATATCCAACTATAAAATATTTTCGTCATGGAATTTTGATCAAAAAAGAATATCGCGGATCAAGGTAAATGAAATTCAATGAATGAAAACGTGATAAATTGATCTTTTTCTTTCAAAGAACACTTGAATCTTTGTTAAATTTTATTCAACAACAAATTCAATCGCCAATTGTGAACTTAAATCAGATCGAAAACAAATATTCTTATATTGTTGGTCATTTTAACAATACGAATTCGAAGAGTTATCAGATCTTTTCAAAAATCGCTAAACTTCTACAAGATGATTGTCATTTTGCTCAATCCTTTTCAGAGTAACGATTTCTCGCTCTTAAACACATTTCATTTTCAGCTTTTGTTGATGTTTTTCAGAAATGATCACGTTTATTATCAACCATCTCAAGTAAAAATACTTTGAAAAAGCAGTTTTCCAACAAGAAACATGTTGATTTTGTAGTTTTCTCATGAAATCAACGAAAGTTTCCATGGAAATTTGGAAAATGAGAATGAATTTTACTCTTGGTCACATAATAAATGCATTGAATTAGTTCGCGAAATCACATTTGAAAATGCTGAAGAATTAACCGATCAAGGTTTACCATTTCTCATTCTTTTTCATCATCCAAATGATACACAATCCGTCAGTTTATTCAAACAACAAGTAGAAAAACAACTCAAACATGAAACTCGTAAAAAAACGCTTCTTTTTCCTTGATGAAAATCGTCTTCGTTTTCTTTTTTTTAAAAGAGTCGATCAATTGTTTACACGCTAATGGATTAAAATTTACTCATCCATTAAAACATTTAAATAAAGATTTGTCCGATTTACCATTATTGGTCATCGATACATTTCGACATATGTTTCTTTTTCCACATTTTAATCTGATTTCGTAAGAAAATTTCTCTCATTGAAGACAAATCTTTTCTTTTCTCTTTAGAATTAATGGGAAATTGGTAGAATTTGTTCGAGACCTTCATTCAGGAAAACTTCATCGAGATTTTCATGAAAAATCAACGAATCTTCATGTAAAAGATGAAATATGTGAGTTTTGATAATATATTTTGTTTAATTGTAGGAAAATGTTGATACCGGTGAGAATTCAGATATGAAATTAAGTAAAACTAACTTTCCACCTGAATCGATTTTCGTTCGTTTAACTCCTAGTCGACAACGTTACTCATTTCGTGATGAATTATAAAAATAAAATTTACATTTACAAAAGAACTTGTTATTTTTAGATCAAAACTCTGTAGATCAATGCGTCGACATCGACAGATCGCGATTTTAGGTTATCCTGGTGTTGGAAAATCTTCTCTTGCTCATCATTTCGTTTACAAACAGTATCATGGTGAATACGATCCAAATATCAAAACAAGTTCGGAATTGATTTGAAATCTTTCCTTTCAAACATTTCTTTTCTCTTAGATCTTCAATATCAATGCACATTAAATGGACAGGAATATGATTTAACTATCATTGATAATGCAGGATCAGATCAATATACAATTAATCATATCGATTTAGAAAATAGTGATGCTTATATTCTTGTTTATGCTATTGATGATAGACAAAGGTCTGTTATCTTCGATAAATTCATCGAAAGCTCATCGAAGAACTTTTTAGTTTTCATATGATTTCGAAAATTCGAGAGAAAATTTTATCAACAAGTACAGTTACAAAGTAAAGATATGATTTGTTAACAATTAATCTGTTTAGATGGGCTTTTGTTTTGTTTGTTTGAAGAATCCCAATTGTTTTAGTTGGAAATAAAATTGATCGAGTTGATGAACGGTAAAACAAAACTGAACGAAAACGAATGTCAAAACTTCGTTTATTTAGAGTTGTGACTAAAGAAGAAGGACAATCTTTAGCAAACCAATGGAAAGTTCAATTTGTCGAAACATCTGCAATGGATTTCAAAGTAAAATATATTAAAAGAAAATCGACCGATTCGATTTGCTGTTTCGTAGACGGTTGGAGAAATCTTTTCGAAAAGTTTAAAATCAATGGAAAATATTGATATGAGTGAAAGTCTTTCGAATGGAACCGTAATCAATGATTTAATTCAACAAAAAACGGATTCATCTCGAACAAAACAATCGTCAAGCAACAAAACTTGTTCAATTTCCTAAGAAGAATTTGCCAAGATTACGAACGCTTTGTCTTTCTTTTGTAAATAAATCTTTTTCTGTATATGAGTTGATTCTTCAGTGATAAAAATCAAAAAGAAAGCCCAAATCTCAGTTTTATTGTGAAAAGAAAGTTATATATTTTCAACGATAAATTGAACAGTAAAAGATTTTCTTTAGATTTCAAATGATTTCAATATGACATTCGAAAATTTTCTTAATTGGACTGTTTCCATTGATTGTGGACCATCAATTGGTAATTATCAAGGACAAATTAAATCTGTCGATGGAGCCAATCAAACATTAACATTAACCAATGCTTTTCTCAACGGAATTTTAATTGAACAAGATTTGATAACGATTAAAGCCAAAGATATTCGAGATTTGAATCTTTTATCTCAACCGGGTTCGTCATTTCAAATTCCAAAAACAATTCAAAAGAAATCGAATCAGGATATCTCACAGCAACAATCGAAACCTGCACCGATTGCAAATAATGGTTAGTTAAAGTCGTTCGATTCGAATATGTCAATGAATTTGATGTGATTTTAGGAAATAAATCAATTGGAACAAATGTAAATCAATCGAATCGAAATCGTTCGTCGAAATCTTTGTCAGATGAAGGAATTAATGAAAATGAAGTCAATGAAGAAGTTAATAATCGAGATCCAACGATAAGACCTTTGACATGTCAATTAGCAGATAAATATCGATGTGATCAAATGATTCTTGAACATAATAATGGACCAATTGATTATGAACAAATTCAATTACCTGTTCCAACAACTAAAAAATATCGAACTGGTCAGTTTTTCTCCTTCTTTTCTCTTTTAATTTTCCGTTTCTTTTCAGACGAAGGTTTAATCATTCCTGCAATTAACATTGAATTACGTGAAAAATTGTTCAATGCAGGTGAATATTATGGTTTTACAAAAGAACGTCGAATTGAATCGATGGGTCATTGTACGAGTGATATGTGTTTGCATTTATTGGGTGGAACACAAAGATTATTAGTCAAAAATCGTCATCAACATCCGACGATTGTTGTCTTAGCTTGTCTAACTGAAATTCAAGGTGCATATGCAATTGCAGCTGGAAGAATTTTATCATCACGAAATATTCGAGTTTATTTATATTTACCACCAAATTCGAATTCAATTCGAAATAATCTCGTGGAAAATGAATTACAACTATTTCGAACAACTCAAGGAATTATAACAAATAATGTTTCAGGTAACAAATCGTTCTATTCTCTCAATAAAAACTTTCTTTCTCTCTTTCAGATCTTCCTCGTTCTCCGGTTGATTTAATTCTCAATGGATTAGATTCAGCGAATAATTCTGATTCGGTTCTATTTGCTAAACCATGGTATCGTGAAATTGTTCAATATTGTTCACGATTACAAGCATCAGTCATCGGTGTTGATCCTCCATTAGATGGTGGAGCAATTGAATGTAAATATTCATTAGTCCCGTTGTTGCCACTTGTTGCAATGTCATCGAAGAATGTTGGAAGACTTTATTTATGTGATCTTTCCTATGGACAAAAGGTGTTTCAACATTTACATATTCGTTATGCTTCACCATTTGGAGCCAAATCATTTGTTGCCTTACATGAGAATTCAAATTAACACATTCATCTCGTCTTCTTTTTTTTTTATCAAGACTAAACTTTCTCTATTTTATGTTCTTTTTTTTCTCTTCGTTTGTCTTTGTATTTTTATTAAAAATGCATTAAAAACATGACCAGAACACAAAAATCTTCTTTCTCGAATTTGATATTAACAAGACGAATTTCTCTACAGAAAAGATTTGATTTAATCTTGATTTCAGTATGTTAGTAAAATTGATTAGAAAACATTTGTTTAATTCGGTGAGTTTCGTTACTTCTAGATGCAAATCAACTCTTCTTACTTGTATGTCATTTTCTTTTCTTTATTTTTATATTTGATAACTCATCAGATCATTATAAAACGTTCAATGGCATCGATAGGTTCATCTGAATATTCAGCTTGTGTAACAACAGTGTCCACAGATGAAGAAGCTCGAAAATTAGCTCGTTCGATTGTTGAATCGCATTTAGGTGCATGTGTTAATATTATTCCAAATATTCGTTCGATTTATGAATGGAAATCAGCAATTCAAGAAGATAATGAATTCATTTTGATGATTAAGACAAGAAAAGAATTTGTTCCGAAATTAATCGAATTCGTTAAAGCGAATCATTCATATGAAGTACCAGAACTAATTGAACTTCCAATTAACAGTGGAAATCCTGATTATCTTAAATGGATCGATGGAATTGTTAAACAATAGACATATTAACAAATCGAAATACGTTTGTTCGTTTTTTTATATCTTTTTTTTTCTTTTTCATGAAGACATTGTAAACGTTGAGGAAATGAAAACATATCTATCGATCATTTCATATGCTTGATGATTTGGGGAGATGAGTTTGAATGAAGACCAGTAGTGTCGAACTCGAAACTTGAATTCAAGTATTCAACTATTATACTTGAATAGTTGAACTTTTCAATTATTCCTGTATTTGCAAGAACATCATGTGCAAAAACCGATTACTTTTCTGTGAGCGCTCAGAAGGTCTTCAAAAGCCTTTGTTAATACTTTCCTCATTACTCGATCAGTACTGTCTAAGTCGAAAGTTGAAATCATTAAATCAATTCTTACTCCAGTTATCCAGGTATTCCTCTATAAGATCTCAAAACCAGCAAATTTTCATTTTATCGATTATTCATTTTCACACCCCCTTCAACGATCATGGCATTGTCATTTATGCTATACGAGGCAGCACTCCCACCGTTACTTTACGAGGTAACACCCTACGTGCACCCTCACTTCGAGATATCTCTCTCCGCATTTTTGCCTTCACCCTCACCCTCAAGAACTGTTAGAGAAGCTAAAGCCAGGAGGAAATCGATAGACTCTTATAGAGGAAGTTTTTTTCGAAGCTTCTGAATATTCTTGCCGCACAGACACTTTGCTCCTTCTTCTAAGAACGTTCTTGACCAAAATGATATCCAGAGTAATCATTGAAGGGCAAAACGGGAAGTCACTTTTCCTCTCTGTTCCGACACAAATTCTTCTCGCTACAACAGCAGTTTAATTAGATTGATTGAGGATATATGACTCATTCTATTATACATTTCCAAAAATTAAGATAGGAAACAAATAATAATAGAAAGATGCCTGACATATACCTTATTTTCAGTAAATCGAAGAAATAGAAAGTCATTCATAGTCGATGGGCCAAAATCAGACCTTTTATTGACAACTTTTATAACAAAGGACAATATTGATGAAAGTTTTCTGGACGAACAAAGGATTCACATACATCGATACTTTTCAATGTCTTCAGATTGAAATGCGTCGGATCTTCAGTGAAATGGTTTGTTATACTTGTGAGTTGATTCAACTCCAACGAGAGATTCAATAAACATGGTAGATGCATCTTTGTTTGCGAGAGGAATAGTTCGGCATAGTCTACATTTGCTTCATGAAGATTGAGCAGTGTCAGATAAGGAAATGCGATCAATGCACAGGAATATTCTTTGTCTTTCATTGGATTCGTATTTGATATGTACAGGAATTGGAGAAAAGGAAAGTCACGAGCAACAACCTCGAATAGTGAATATTCGAAAGGCACGTTGTCACGCATTTTCAATTGTCGAACTTTAGAAAACATGCCACCCTGGAAACGATTGTTGAGATCAGAATAATATTCAAAATCGTACGGAAGGGAATAGATGTGACATTCATGGTCAAACAATTTTGGTCTCTTCGTAATACATGACACTACGGGTGGATAGTTTCGTCCATGGAAACTACGTTGAATATCTTCATTTGATGGAATTATAGTTTGAGGCCACCGGGCCCAGACTGTTGTATGGATGTTAAATGTAAACTTCTTCAGTTGTGTCATGCGATCGAGAAACTGATACCATAAGTCAAAGCCATCAACACAACACAATTCCTTTCTTACTACGACTAGATACAGTTGTAGTTCTTCCAAATTGATCATCCGACGAAGTAATGGAACAATAAGATCATCATATTCACATGTCATATCGAAACTAATAAATGAAAAACATTTCAGCTTTGGAAGTGGTTTCTATCAAACAAAGAATGATTTCATTTGACCGAAGATCGTTGAAAATGTTACTTACTCCTCCACGGATATCCAGTTGTATATCAAAAATCTCTTTCACTTTGACAATGAACGTCGATAAACATTCGAAGCGTCCATCAAGAATATAAACACAATCGATGAAGGTTTTGACATTGATTTTCAACGTTGTTAAACTCGACGAAATATTACTTTTTCGCGGAATAGCGTAAATAAACAACTCGCATTGTCCCGTAGGAAACATATAACAAAAATTCAGATCGGTTAATCCTTTGCATAGAGAGATGATGGATGCGAAAATCTTCGGCACAGTTTTCGAGAATTTCTCTATCGGTTTTTTTATATCAACGTTCAGATTTGTCACGCGTTCGGTCAGATCACGAAGAACTAAATCATCTAGAAAACAAAAAACATAGATATTACCTTTTCAAGGAATCTATAATTCGAAAGACTGTACCAGTGAAACATTGATAAAGTATTTCCTCTTCAAAATTGACCAACGACAATGAATTGAGTTGAGGATAATTGACGGTAAGAAATGACTTAATCGACGACTGTTCGACAGTAAGTTGATGGATGTGGTGATGAATTCGAGGTAAGATTTGTTCACTGAATCGCGGAAGGAACTGGATATCAATCGAAGAAGATCGATTGCACAGTGATTGGATGATCATCGTGTCAGTTAGATCAAAATGACGAACATAATGAGGATCTATTGCTAATCGATGAAAACGTCGATCAACATTCACAAGTGAAGAAAATATATCAAGCATTGTGAGGTCCTTGAAAATCATGAGGAAGATTTCATCGGGTAAATCAAGCAGATTACTATTGAATTTCTTCATGTTTGTCTCTTCGAGTGTGTCCATTTCCTCTTTATCGGCGAGAGGAACAATGACACATTTATATCGATGCCGTCATCTGGTTCAATGATGACCTGAAGAAATAGACTAGACTAATTGTGAATGAACCAATCGATGGAAAGATCTTCTCGTTCCTTTGGAATTAAGGGTTCGCGTGCTGAAGTTGAACAGCTTATCGTGACGATGTAACATGGAAGTGATTTACTCCAGCGATCATAATTAATATTTTCTATAGAGATATTCGGTCGTAGGATCCACGATGTTCGATTGTAGGCACTGCAACGCCCGGTAAACATGGATGTTTAAATCATATTCAAGTTCGATTTTTTGTTTCTTAGAATGACGTGTTGTAAAGCGTTTATCATGTAATGAAGACCAATGGAAGCCAACATTTCATGTATTTCGATATACAATGAATTTTTGTAACGCATGAATGATTTGTAACTCTGCCTTCGCTTGTTCTGTGTAGAGTCTCGATTGATTGCGCATATCTGTATCGATTGTTGTATCGTTCATCATAGCACGATGCGTACTTGAGCCTTTGGTTCATTTTTATTCAAATCCTCCATCTAAATCAATAAAGACATTCTATTGCGTCGAGAGATATTTTGTTTTCTTACTTGGATATTGTCGACCGTCAACCTACGCAAGAACACTTCAATTGACATTTTAATATCTAAATGCAAAGAATACAATGTTTATATACTGTGCTTGGCGAAGATATCAATCCATCTTTTCTTTCTTTTCCTACATCTGATATCTTTCCATTCTTCTCCTGTAATATCCATGTTCCTCGAATATGAACACATCCATTCAGATCGAAGCTGAAAAAGAGAACGATCGAAATAGCATACCGTGAAGAATATTCTTCTATAGAAAACGTGGATGATGTAAACGTTTTGTTGCCTTGTTGATCATGGGATTGTTTGTCCTTTCTAGAGTTAACGTCATACATTGAATTTCAAAGTCTTCAACAAATTTCTGGACCACCTAGGATGATAACGCCTGAAGTAATATTACAGGATTAATTGATAGAAACGTCAGAAAACTTCCCATTTCTGTGCTGGATTGTTCGACTTGAATACAGACGCAATCATCTAGTATTCCACTCAAGGAATGCCTGTTTGTATCTATAGATTCATTTAGTCACTACTGACACTACTATAATTTTCCAAGTGATGATGAGACACCAAACACTGAAAGCTATGATTTACCAAGAGTTTCAAATTATTCGTAGAAAATGTAATTAAGGTTTTCTTTCTCCTTCACAGTTGTTGCTATACGTTCTGTCGAATTATCTGTACATTTTACTTTACTAGTCTAATGAAAACAAATATGTTTTAAATAGTTTAAACTTTAACTATTCAAAAGGATTGATGGAATTGTTGAACAGTATTCGTTTACTCGTCCTTCCTAAAGTTAAATCGAACACGAAAAGATCTTTTTGTTCGAAAGAAACACTTCTGAAATGAAATTAATTAAGAAGAATCTCGCGGTAAAGAATTTGAAGATGTCTTTATTAACATTGAAACATATATTTGGTGTGAAAACTTCGCATCGAAATAGTATTGAATACTTAAATGAATACTGTTATGTGTATCCGTCCAATCGACATATCATATTCTACAATAAAGAATATAAAAATGAATATTTTATTGATTTTGAAAATGAAAATGATCAGTTCGAATGTTTATTAATAAGTCCAAATAAAGAATATTTGTCAATTGGTTTTAGTAATCTGAATAAATCTCGAATTATTCTTTACAAGATTAATCAAATAATCAAATCTCCTCCAATTAAATTGAAAACATTTTCATTAAAGAATTCCCATCAAATCAATTCTGTTTGTTTTTCCTCGAATTCCAAATATCTTTTAGTACTCTCGTAAGTTACCCGAAAACAAATCTCTTCAAAGCTTTTCTTGAAAAATTCAGAGGAACATCCGAGCACGTGCTCACTTGTTGGTCAATTCCACAGTCACGATCGATTGGAACGATCAATATTCACATCAATTCATCCACCAATCCACTTCATTTACAAATATCATTCAATCCGATTAATTCATCGAATATTTTAATCAGTGGAAATGATTTTGTTGAAGAATTTCATTTAAACAATGGAACGATCTCCCGAATTTTTCGGGAAGAATTCTCTCGATATTCTTCTTCAAAGATCACTGCACACTGTTGGTTGAACGAAAGTCACATGTTGATCGCATTTGAAAATGGTTTTCTTTGTATTTTAAATAAGGATCGGCAGATTATTCAACAATATTATGTGTAAGATATTTGAAAACATATTTTGCCTTCAATAGAACTTTTTCTTTATCATTAAAAGAAATGGTTTGTTGGATTCGGTCGAAACTAAACGAAAAAAATCGAAAGGAAATTTAGTGAAAAGTAAATCTTCGTTCTATTTATCGTCATCATTATCCATCCCATCAAAACGATCTTCATTGTCTCTGATTAATCTTCATGACCATTCAAGAAGAAACTCTTTTCGATATTTAAATGTCCTTACTGATGACTATCTTCATAAAAATCATTCGTCTCGAATAATTTCCTTATTATCTTTCCCTCGTGGTGTTTTTGTCTCAACATCGTAAGACGCCATCTTTCATTTAAAGAGAAGAAAAAACACAACAATTTTGTTTAGAAAAGGGGAAGTTTTAGTCTATGAAAGAAATGAAAATCATATTGAATTGAATTATCTCCGAAGATTTCTTTTACCTTCATCTTCTGTGAACGATTCAACAAATGAATTTATACATTCATTATCTTTGAATCCCAATGAGGAAATGTTATTAGTGGCGACAAATCGAAATCATTTATATGAAATTGACTTATCTAAAATGGTAAAAGTTTTGATAAAAAGAATTTTTTATTCCAATGAAATCTTTCTCGAAGGATTATCGAAGGAAAGAAGAGATAATCAATTCCAATAGTCTTCATGATGCTCATTCAGGATCGATTATTGATGGAGTTTTATCATTGTCAAAATCTTTACTATTTACAATTGGTTCTGATCGATCAATTCAAATTTGGAATTATCAAACAAAGTGAAAAAACAATGTTTGCTTTGAATTGTTCTTCTTTTAAAGTTTCTTTCGGAATTTTAGCATCGAAGAATTCAAATATGAATTTCCAATTGAACCAATAATGATGAGTGTTCATCCAAATGGAATCTTTATTTGTTTAGGATTTTTCGATCAAATTCAAATTTCTTTTTATACAAATGAAAACTTCATTCTATTTAAACAATTTCAATTATTTAATGTTCAATGTGTAAATTGATCAACTTCTTTCTATTTCGAAGAAAAACAAAAGATACGAATTGAAATTGTAGATTGAATATAGTCATCAAGGACATATTTTATGTGTCACATATGAAAATATTCTTCAATTTCATCAACATTATAATTATGATGAAAT